GGAGCTACAGGATGTCCCAGGTGAGACCCCCACCCATAGGAGCTACAGGATGTCCCAGGTGAGACCCCCACCCATGGGAACTACAGGATGTCCCAGGTGAGACCCCCACCCATAGGAGCTACAGGATGTCCCAGGTGAGACCCCCACCCCTGAGAGCTGCAGGATATCCCAGGTGAGACCCCCACCCATGGGAACTTCGGGGTCCAAGCCCACCTAAGCTTCAGGACATCCTAAGCCCCCCCACCCTCAGGAGCTGACAGACCCCAGCCCAAGTGACCTCTAGGTGAGCCCCAGGTGAGCCGGGGGGGTCGTGGCCCCTCACCCGTCGTTGTTGAGGTCGGCCAGGGCGAGGGCGCTGCCGAAGTAGGAGCCGACCTGCGGCCCGGGGAGCAGCAGGCTCCGGTTCAGCGTCTGCCGGGCGCCGCGGCTCAGCAGCAGCACGGCTCCGGTGTGCCGGTACCGCGGCGCGCCCGTCACCACGGTCACCGCGTCCCGCTGCAGCACCGCGCTGCCCACCTCGGCCGTGTACCCTGCGGGGGCCGCGTCAGGGAGGGCACGGGGACCCCCGAGACCCCCTCGTGTCCCCCCCACCCGCCGAGGCCCCGCATCCCGTCCTGGGTCCCTCCAGCCCCGGGTATCTCGGGGGGAGCACTGGGAACTGCTCACACCCTCCTTAAGTGTCCCTAAGTGTCTCTAAGTGTCCCTAAGTGTCCCCACGTGTCCCTCGTGCCTTTAACATCCACACCCAAAACTCACAGCCCGCAAAGCTCCTCCTCAGCCCTTCTCCCTCCATATACCCGATGTCACCCCAATGTCACCACTGCCCCCCGGTCTCACCGTCCCAGGGGGGTCTTCAAGCCTCCCTGGGCCCCCCACCCCCCTAAATCCGTCCCCTCCAAACCTCCTCCTCCTCGCCCCCAACCCCCCCGGGGCTCCCCCCACCTATGTAGGTGTTGCCGTTCCTCTTGTTGGGGTAGGAGAAGTCGTGCAGGTCCCATGTCTCCCTCTGCAGCATGTAATCCGTGCCTGGAGCGGGGAGGGGGGGTCACCTCAGCACTGGGGGGTCCCACGGGGGCGCGGGCACCTCGGGGTCCCACGGGGGCACAGGGACCTCAGCATCCCATGGGGGTGCGGGCACCTCGGGGTCCCACGGGGGCGCGGGCACCTCGGGGTCCCTGGGGGGCACAGGGACCTCAGGGTCCCACGGGGGTGCGGGCACCTCGGGGTCCCACAGGGGCACGAGCACCTCGGGGTCCCAGGGGGCACGGGCACCTCGGGGTCCCACGGGGGCACGAGCACCTCGGGGTCCCACGGGGGTGCGGGCACCTCGGGGTCCTACAGGGGTGCAGGCACCTCGGGGTCCCACTGGGACACGGGCACCTCGGGGTCCCACGGGGGCACAAACCCCCTGTGAAGGAAGTGTCCCCAAAGGTAAGGGGAACCCCCAGGAGAAGGGGTGACCCCAGGGGTGGCAGGTCCCCTCCCAGGACCCTCACCCTGCCAGTTGTAGGCGCCGGGCGCCCCGAAGTAGATGATGTTGGCGCCGAAGCCGGCGCTGGTGCCCATCTGGCACATGCCGGTCTCGTCGGTGTCGGTGTTGGCGTTGCACATCTCGTTGTGGTACGTCTGCCACTCGTCAGCCAGGTCCAGGCGCAGGTCGTTGCCCCGCACGTAGCAGCGGCCAACCATGCGGCGCTGCGCCTCCGCCCCCGACCACAGCACCCGCGTGTAGCGGTGGGCACAGGCCTGGCACAGGGACAGGGACAGCTCAGGGACAGCTCAGGGACAGCCCAGGGACAGCCACAGCACCCGCGTGTAGCGGTGGGCACAGGCCTGGGGACAGCAGGGACAGCTCAGGGACAGCCCAGGGACAGCCACAGCACCCGTGTGTAGCGGTGGGCACAGGCCTGGCACAGGGACAGGGACAGCTCAGGGACAGCCCAGGAACAGCCCAGGGACAGCCCAGGGACAGCCACAGCACCCGCGTGTAGCGGTGGGCACAGGCCTGGGGACAGCAGGGACACTGAGGTTCAGGGGACACCCCTAAAGGTGTGGGGACACCCCAAGGGTGTGTGTGTGTAAAGAACCAGGATCTGGGTGTGCAAGGATCCGGGATCTCGGTGTGTAAGGAGCTGGGTGTGCAAGGATCCGGGATCTGGGCGTGTAAGGAGCTGGGTGTGTAAGGATCTGGGGTCTGGGTAAGGATCTGGGTGTGCAAGGATCTGGGGTTTGGGAGTGTAAGGATCTGGGTGTGCAAGGATCTGGGTGTGTAAGGATCTAGGTGTGTAAGGATCTGGGGTCTGGGAGTGTAAGGATCTGGGAGTGTAAGGATCTGGGTGTGCAAGGATCTGGGTGTGCAATGATCTGGGTGTGCAAAGCGGATCTGGGGTCTGGGAGTGTAAGGATCTGGGAGTGTAAGGATCTGGGTGTGGAAGGATCTGGGTGTGCAAAGCCCGCGGTGCCCCCGACTCACCAGGACCCTCCCCGGTGGCTGCCGCTGGCTGGCCACTGTCACCCCCAGCCACATGTCCTCGATGATGGCCTTGTCCGGCTCATCTGCGGGGGAACAGCCGGCCTGAGAGGGGGTCCCCGCTCCTGGGGGGGTTTTGGGGTGGTCACACACCCCGGGGGGGAGTCACCCACCCTTGAGCTCGATGGGCAGGCGCTGGCAGTCGCGGGTGGTGGCACTCAGGGGACAGGCGTACACGGCGCCCGTCCGTGTCCCGTTCACCGGCTCCGCGTCCTGGGGGGCCCCCACCAGCAGCCTGGGGGGCACAAAGGGGGCACGTGGGTGGGTAGGTCCAGCCCCCCAAACCCCTCCAACTCATTTTGGTGGGCACCCTGGGGAGGGGACACCTGGGGGACAGCGGAGCTGCTTCCCCAGAGTTTGTCACACCCTGACACCCCCAAATAACGGGGTCAGCCTCATCTCCAGAGCTGGAAGGGGACACAGGGACCCCGAATGGCCTCAGGGACAGACTGACAGAGTCATTGCTCCCCCCATTCCTTCCCAGACCCCTTCCCATGGCTGAGCCCCCATCCCTGTGCATGAGGGTGGGAAGAGGGGTCACAGTGACCCCCCCCAACCCTCGCTGCGCTGGCGGGGAAAACAAGAGGGAGGGGCTGCTCTGAACACCGCGTCCGTGTAAACACCCCCGGCCCCCCCGGCCGGGCTTTGATCCCTCCGCAGCCCCGGCAGCTGCGGCGTGTCCGGCCGACAGCGCCGAGCGGTGTGCCAGGGAATGCGGGACAGCAGGGACAGAGCCCCGGGAGCGGGGAGGGGGGACAGACACCCTCGTGTGGGACGGACACCCCTCGTGTGGGGTGGACACCCCTCATCCAGGATGGACACCCCTCGTGTGGGATGGACACCCCTCATCCCAGACAGACACCCCTCGTGTGGGATGGACACCCCTCATCCCAGACAGACACCCCTCGTGTGGGACGGACACCCCTTGTGTGGGATGGACGCCCCTCGTGTGGGACAGACACCCCTCATTCGGGATGGACACCCCTCATTGAGGACAGACACCCCTCCTCCAGGACAAGACACCCTTCATCCAGGACAGACACCCCTCGTGTGGGATGGACACCCCTCATCCCAGACAGACACCCCTCATGTGGGATGGACACCCCTCATCCAGGACAGACACGCCCCCATCCCAGACAAACACCCCTCATGTGGGATGGACACCCCTCATCCCAGACAAACACCCCTCATGTGGGATGGACACCCCTCATCCAGGACAGACACCCCTCAGGCCGGACAGACACCCCTCGTGTGGGATGGACACCCCTCAGCCTGGACAAACACCCCTCATCCCGGACAGACACCCCTCAGGCCGGAGGGGCTCGGGCAGCACGGGGCTGTCCCAGGACAGGCAGCACCTCCCAGGGGTGACCTCCCCCAGGAAGGGCAGTGCCATGGGGGACATTGGCATTCCGGGCTGGATGTGCCTCCGGCACCTTCAGGTGATGCTGAAGGGACCCCCCACCCCAAAGGAAGATGCCGGGGACCCCAAGGAAGGTCCTAAGCCCTGGCAGGGGAGCTGGCACGGCCGCAGGGCTCCGGAAGGGCCAGCCTTTCCGCCGGGAAGTCCTTCGGGAGCGCCGGGACAATGGCGTGGAGGTGGCCGGGCTGGGGGAGGAAGTGCCTCCCTCTGGCAGGCGGGACACGGGGGGACACAGCACCCAGGACACAGGGGGACACAGCGCCCAGGACACGGGGGGACATGGCACCCAGGATATGGGGGGACACAGCACCCAGGATATGGAGGGGACACAGCACCCAGGACACGAGGGGACACAGCACCCAGGACATGGAGGTGACACGGCACCCAGGACATGGAGGAGACACAGCACCCAGGACACGGGGGGACACGGCAGGACATGGCACCCAGGATACGGCACCCAGGACATGGAGGTGACACTGCACTCAGGACATGGCACTCAGGACACAGCACCCAGGACACGGCACCCAGGATACAGCACCCAGGACATGAAGGGGACATGTCACACAGGACATGGCACAGAGGACACAGAAGGGACACGGCACCCACAGCTGCTCACAGGGCAACGAGCTGGCCAGTGCTCAGCAGGGCCATCAGCGAGGACAGACCAAGTGCTGCTGTCCCCATTGTCCCCATCCCAGCGAGGACAGACCAAGTGCCGCTGTCCCCATCCCAGCGAGGACAGACCAAGCGCCGCTGTCCCCATCCCAGCGAGGACAGACCAAGTGCCGCTGTCCCCAGCCCAGCAAGGACAGACCAAGTGCCGCTGTCCCTCATTGTCCCCATCCCAGCGAGGACAGGCCGAGCGCCGCTGTCCCCGCGGCAGCGCCCGCGGGCAGGGAGCGCCGGCAAGCCGAGCAATGCGGGGCCGACAGCCGGGCACGTCCGGGCGGGCCGGGCGCTGACTCAAAGCCCAGGCGCAGGAGGAATGCGGGGCCCCGGGCAGCCCCCGCCCCGGCACGCCGGGACCCCCCCGGGGCGGCTGAGTCAGCCCGGGGCTGCAGGTGGGGGGGGCCCTCTTACCTGGGGGGGGAAGTGACTCAGGACAGCTGCCGTGACTCAGAGCTGGGGGGGTCCTGCCCCCAGCGGGACCTGCAGCCCCGGGGGTGCCCCCAGGCTCCCCCGGTGGTCCCGGCTCAGCCGGACCCCGCCGTCCCCGCGGGTCCCGGGGGGCGGGAGCCCACCCAAGGCAAGCAGCTCCGGCATGCCGCTGCCTCCAGCCAAGATTCCCGGCACGGCACGGCACGGCACGGCAGCCCACCCGCAGCTCCGCTCCTGGGAAAGGGGGAGTGCGGGACCTTCCCGAGCACGGGGCGGGGGGGCACCCAGGGGCGGCCCCCACCCGGCCGTGAGGCTTCCCGGGGATCCCGGGGGAGCGGAGCTGGGATTCTGGGGGTCCGGGAGCAGTTTGTGGCACTGGTCCCAGCGGGCCGGGGGGACGGGGAGCTGCGGTTGTGCTGGAGATGGCCAGAACGGCACGAGGGGGAGGCCGGGACGGGAGGGAAGCAGGAATGTGAGGCCGTGCTCCGTCCTAATCCGCCCTGGCAAGCGCGGGGGGGGCTGGATGGAAGCGCGGGGGGGCTCCCTGCCAGCGCTGGCTCAGCTGGGAGGGGGGGCCGTGGGAGGGTCCGGGCACCAGGACCCCAAACTGCGGCCCCTCCCTGGGGTGGGAGAAGCGAGGATGGCAGAGAATCCCACCCGGGCACCTCAGCACGGAACAGGGGGGTCGTACAACCCCCCCCCAGCCGCGGAGCCCCCTCCCCAGGGAGCAGCTGGGCAGCGAGGGAAGCTCCTCACCCATCTCCCACCACGCTCCGGGGGTGAGGGAGCCGGGAGGGGAGGAACGGGCGGGGGGGGGGACCCGGCCCGCCCCCAGGGCTCTGTGTTTGCCAGGGGGGTCCCTGGGCACGGAAATCCAGCGGGGAAGGGGCCAGGAGAGGGGGAACGGCTCCTGGAGGGATGGATGGATGGATGGATGGATGGATGGATGGATGGATGGACGGACGGACAGACGGCCCCACATCCGTCCCCCTCCTCCTGCCCAGCAGCCGCAGCCCCGCAGGACCCCGGCGGATTCGGGCCAAGGCAGGGGGAGCTCAGCCAGCTCCAGCAATCCGCAAAAGCCCGGCCGGGGGGAGGGAAAGCCGGGAACGCAGCCAGGAGAGCGCTGCTCTCCTCAGCAGCCAGCTGCAATCAGGGAGACCCCCAAGCAGAGCCCCAATTCCCACAGGGCTGCAGATGTGGGTGCTGCCTCCCCTCTGCCTGCAGAGTTTGAGGGGGGGGATCTTCAGCTTTCCTAGGGATCAGCCGTGCCTCAGTTTCCCCAGGTGACCCAGGGAGCTCCAAACCCACCTGGGCCGGGCTGAGCGGCTCCCGGTGGGAGCGGCCGGACGAGGGCGGCCCGCGGAGCTCGGTAGTCTCGGGAGCGCTGATAAGAGCCTCACCTGGCCGGGGAGGAGCGAGCAAATAAACCTTTGCTTGGGCACAGCTCCGCGGGGCTGGAACGGAACGGAACGGAACGGGGGGGGGGGCTCCGGCATCGCCCCGGCCCCGCCCGGGAATTCGGGAGTGCCGGCGCTGCCCCGGAGCGCCCCTCCGGTCCCACCGCCGTCCCGACAGCCGGGGCAGGAGCCAGCCCCCCCCCAAAAAAATCACGGGACACCCCCTCCCGAGCGGCAGACCGGCGTGACGGTGGCAGGAAATGTCCCTTTCCTGTCCCCACCCTGCACCTGCGGGCAGAGGGCACGGCAGCCTCCACCGGCACCGGGGCGCGGCTGCGACCCCCGGGGGGCTCCGGAGCCCCCCAGCGCCGGCCCGAGCTGAGCCCCGCTCCCCCGGGATGGACAGGACCCCCCCGCGCTGCTCCCGGCCCCGCCGAGGGAACGGGCGGCGGAGGCTCCGGGGGCCGGGCCGCGAATGCCCCGGGGGGGTTCTGGCTCCGGAGCCGGCGGAGCCTCCGCTCCCCGCCGGGACCGCGCTGGGACACGCCGGGACACGTGGCGCAGGTGCGGGGGTGGCACGTCCCTGTCACAGCCCCCCCGAACCCCCCCGGGGCCGTTGCCGGGAAGACACGAACGGATCAGTCCCGGTGCCGGCCGCGACCCCCGCCCGGTGCCCCCCCGGTGGCTGCTCCGGTGGCACCGGAGCGGGCAGGGCCCGGCCGCGGGGGGGACCTGAGTGTCCCCCCGGGCACGGGGGGGGTCCCGCAGCCCCCGGAGCTCCGCAGGGAGCGGCAGCGGCTCCTCATCCCACGGCCCCGAATGCATCCCTGGAATGCGGAGCGGCACATGCCGGGCCCCGGCAGCTGCTGCCCGCCGCCCCCCTCCCCCGGGAAAAACGGGACCCCCGGGGGTCTCCGAGGAGCCCCCCGCAGGCGGGGAAGGTGATCCAGCAAAAAGCCGTGCCCTTGAGGCGGACAAAGGCAGCCCAGCCCTGCGGCGGAGCCTTCTCCCGGCACGGACGGGAATTCCCGGCCGGGAGGCACCGGGCACCGGGAGCGGGGGGACGGCGGGGGACACGGCGAGTGACAGCGGCGGGACGGCACGGGGACCGCTCCGGCTGAAAAGGGCTTTTGTTGGAGCTGTGCCCGGCAGCGGCAGCCACAGCCCAACAGGTTCCCGGGCACCGGCGGCACCGGGGGGGCGCGGGGGGCTCCGCCGCAGCCCCGCTGGGGGTCGGCGCCGGCCGGGACCGCTCCGCTGGGGAGGAATCCCCCCCTCAGAGGGGTTCTGAGACCACCCGGGGGGACAGGGGGTGTCCCCGCGCTGCTGCCAGCCCCCCCCCCCCCGGTGTCACCGGGACCCCCGCAGCAGGCGGGGAGTGAGGAGGGGGCTCGGGGAGGGACCCCCAGCGATGGGACCCCCGCCAATACCGGGGTGTGGAAAAGAGCGGGGGCGTCCCACGAGCGGGGGACCCCCCCCCAGGAGCAACTGCGGAGCGCGGACCCCCCCTCAGCCGGGCTCTGGGCCACCCCCCAAACGTGGAGCCCCCTCCCCCCCCCGGGGACCCTCCCGGCTCTGCCCCACCCCACGGGGGATCCGCACCCCGCGGGGAGCACTCAGAACGCCTCCGCCCCCCACGGCAGACCCCCCCCTTCACGGGGGCGCCTGTGAAGGGGGGGGTCTTTACCTGTGTAAAGCGCTGTCTCACTCTCCTCCGCCTCACGGGGGTCCCATGCACCGGAGACCCCCCCCCGATCCTCCCGGGGACCCCCCGCACCCCCACGGGGGACCCCTCCCCGTTCTCCCCCGTGCCAACCCCCCCCTCTCAGGTGAGCCTCCCCTCGCTCTCCCGCTCCGCACGGGGGTCGCGCTCACAGGCTCCGCTCCCGCCGCTCCGTCTCCCGGTGCAGCGCTACCGAGAAGCCGAACAAGGCTCCGGCGGGGCCCTCCTTGAGCACGGGGAAGGTGCGGTCCAGGTTGAAAGCGGCGGCGGCACCGAGCAGCACCGGGCCGAGCCCGAGCAGCACCGGGCCGAGCCCGAGCCGCAGCCCCGGCAG